TTTTGTTAGCTGAGTGCGTAATAGAACCTCTTTTTGTCTACATGTGAACGACGCACTTTTTTATCGCTTATCAAGCTTATTAGTCCAACAAACGTACTAGTCAGTTAACATTGCACCAAACAATATGAAAACTTGATGGTTTATAGTTTCGACCACGCTGAATACGAAAAAATATTAAAAAATACCTGGTGCTTGGGGTCTGTGAGAAAAAAGCATCGCAAAGTTTAAAATGTTTGTATCTCAAAAACGGTGGTACCTATACAGTAAAATAGATTACACCATTCGACAGATCTTGCAAAATTTTATGAGATACGATTATTCATTTAAGTTTCAGGACCGTCAAATAGTAAGATAATCACTTACAAAAAGTTTCACAGGTTGAAAGTGCGAGTACGTACAGCTGTGATCTCCCCACCACGCGGCCATGCCTCTCTGCTCTGGGTAGTCATGTAAATACACATAGTTATAACTATGCTCCCTGCCCCCATCAGCAGCGCGGCGCGCTTCTGCTGTTACGTCTGCTCGTCAGCTTATAAATATATACGTATCGAAATATATAAATTAACATATGTTTTGCTGTAAATGAGTGACTTGCGAGGAATAGAAAACATGATGTAAAATACAAATAATCGTACACATGGTGTAAAAAATACTTAAGGTGGGCTCTTCAGCCACCGCACTGATGAGCCAATCAGGAGGCTTGGAACAAGCGACCTTCCATAGTGAATTTTTCACTAATGAGCGTTGAGAGTGCGTTGTTTAACTACTTACTCTTTATTGCTGAAAATTAATACAACTAACTTTGAAAAGCAGTACTAAATTAAAAGCTTCGTACGTACGATAACGTAAATCAGATTACCAGAGGTGAACAAAAAAACTGACTTTAGACGTTAAAATTCTCATGAAAAGAAAAAAAATTGTAAAATTTGTATATTGAAATATTTAATAAACTTTATTTATTGCATATTTTACAAATAATCATATGATTATATAGAATTATATTCATACATAAAACTTTACTGGACGCTTTATTTAGTAATTGAATAAATTTAGGTTTCTGTTTGCTGTAGTAATTGACAAAGTTTATTAAGTAACAATGCGATTGCTTATTATCTGACTATCCAGGATACTCACCCTGTCACCACTTGTTGCGCTTGAATGATTATTTAATGCTTTTCAATAATAAATAATTAATGCTACTAGTAAGCACTCCAGCTTATGTAGTGATTGTCGTTAGCCTTATTACTTTTTTTTGTAAAATAAGTGTGCGACCAGTAAGCGCATCGGGTTTTTTGGGGATTGGCGCTTGTAGTATTTCGTTAACTTTAAATAAATAAATGGACCAGTGAGCACTTTGGGTTGTGTGGGGAATGGCACTTGTGTTATTTAATTTATTTTAAATAAATNCTAGATAGCACCAAGCTTCTTCGTGTTACTGTAGAATCTAATAATCCGATTGACAACGATACTGATTGTAGTGAAGATGTAGATTGTAACTCTGATAGTACGTTTGATCTTCAGTCGCACGATTTTTATGGTCAGCGGACAAATAAAAAATACATTGATAATGTGGTCGGGTATTTAGCTGGATTCACTGTGCGTTATATATTAAAAAAAAGTAAATGCTTTCAGTGCCCTTTGATCTTGACCTCTGATGAAACTTACTCTGCTTTAACAGAGAGAAAAAATCGTGGCAGGTTAATTTTACCGTCGAAAGATGTTATTGACGTCTGCAAGATCATTGAAAGATCTTTTCGATTTTTTTATAAGAAAAAAAGGGTATCTTCATAGAGCTCTCTAAAATTGTTGAACGATCCATTCCAGCACATTTTTTGGAAATCTTACACACAAACGATCCTGGTAAACACCGACGTAACTTACTTAAACAAATAATTTTTACTTATTTAAGAATTAGAGTACATCATTACGAATCTCAAGTCAGTAAATCAAAAAAGAAAGTCCGCAGAGTTTACACTAAGTTAATATTATTTAGAAATGAATAAAAACATTCTATTGTCAAAATTGAAAACATTCTTATATCCTTTGATAATTAAAATATTTTTCATAAAACTGTTGATGTTTAACGTTTATTTAAAAGTCCTTGGTCCATGTATTGTATCACTTAGTCTATATTATTTTGTTGTCAAAATTGAAAGCATTCTTGTATCCTTTAATAATTAAAATATTTTTCATAAGACACTTGATGTTTAACGTTTATTTAAAAGTCCTTGGTCCATGTATTGTATCAATTACTTTAATTATTTACTTATATACATATGTATTCGCACATTGTTTAGTTAGTTTTCAAGTAATATGATCCTTTACTACTTTTATTTCAATTGTTGACAGTTTTTTAAAAGTTATTTCATTAATAAACAGCGACTGTTTCAAAATATTGTACATTGATTCACTATACATACATTACATTCTCATCTTAAATAACTGTAAATAAATTGTAATTATATTTTTCCAAATGTATTCACATTAATTTGTGATCAAAATGTGTACTGTGAAAAAAAAAATTTTTTCCCAAGTTTCGATAACAAGGCCGATCAAAATTACTTTTCGGTGAACGGTACTTAGCCCAGTCGGCCATGGTTACAAGGTGCCTAGCAAGTAACAGATGTAATATATAAGTTCTTTTTCATCAGAGCTTAGGTTACATATATTTTCCTATCATTGGTATAATTTGGCGGGAGTCGCTGCGTTTGCTGCGGAGATTTGGAGAGGTAGGGTATTGGCTATATATCTATGAATAAAGTAAGTGTACATACCCTAAGGTCAGTACACTAAAATATAAAAAAAAAAAAAAGGCTATATATCTGCTCTGTTCCCCCACGACCGCCACTCGTGGACACGACTATACCTATACCTATATATACGGAAGGGGGCCAACCAATCAGAGGCGTGTAAGAGAGAGAAAGGCTGTACTGCTATTTGTCTTTTGTCTCTCTCATTTCGTCTCGCGGTCGGAGGATACAATAAGGTATTTTCACTTGTGACGTCATTCCAAGATGGCGCGATCACTGGGTTTTTTTTTTCAAATTTGCACCAAATGTGCAAAACCAGCTGTGAAATTCACGAGGATGTCCCAACTAATGATAATGCGTTTAAAAACTTCAGGTTTTAATAAGCTATCGAATGAACACTAAACTTTTTACATCTTCACTTGGTAAGCAATGCAGAAAAAACGAATGAAATTATCGCGGGCATAAAGTTGATTAGAAAAACATTTTATTTTTTGTGCTTACTATGATCCAGTTATAACGAATTTGAAATATAGTCAATAGCGATTCCCGATGCATTAGAGGAAATTTTTCGTTTGTTTACCAAAAGTGTAGTTTTAATGAAAATCAGTACAGAAAAAAAGTACTGCAATCAGGCGGATTGTACTCGTCTACTATACATATTTGTATGGTTGCAAGCTTCCTCGCCTCCGCGATGATAACAAAGTCTCATAACCTCTGACGAGCTGTCAAAATTGAAGCAGTTTGTAGCAAAAACATGAATAAAAGTTGTTGTATGAGTGGTTGTCACGATAAATCTGCGAAATGTTGTTGTCTCTTCATAGATAAAGAAATGATTTCATTTCGTTCCTCTGCACTGATACTTTTGTATTTTTTATTATCCGGAGAAATCACAGATGCAATACGAAAAAAAGATTTCGCAGATTTATCGTGACAACCACTTACACAACAACTTTTATTCATGTTTTTGCCACACACTGCTTCAATTTTGACAGCTCGTCAGAGGTTATGGGACTTTGTTGTGATCGCGGAGGCGAGGAGGCTTACAACCATATATATGTATACTAGACAGGTACAATCTGCCTGATGGCAGTACTTTTTTTCTGTACTGATTTTCATTAAAACTTCACTTTTGGTAAACAAACGAAAAATTTCCTCTAATGCATCGGGAATCGCTATTGACTATATTTCAAATTCGTTATAACTGGATCATAGTAAGCACAAAAAATAAAATGTTTTTCTAATTAACTTTATGCCCGCGATAATTTCATTCATTTTTTTTGCATTGCTTACCAAGTGAAGATGTAAAAAGTTTAGTGTTCATTCGATAGCTTATTAAAACCTGAAGTTTTTAAACGCATTATCATTATTTGGGACGTCCTCGTGAATTTCACAGCTAGTTTTGCACATTTGGTGCAAATTTGAAAAAAAACGCAGTGATCGCGCCATCTTGGAATGACGTCACAAGTGAAAATATACCTTATGCTTCCACCGTGTATATATTCTTTAAGAGCAGACGCAACAGCAGGCGCCGCGCCGCGCTGCTGATGGGAGCAGGGAGCACAGTTATAGCTATGTGTATATACATGACTACCGAGAGCAGAGAAGCATGGCCGCGTGGTGGGGAGATCACAGCTGTACGTACTCGCACTTTCAACCTGTGAAACTTTTTGTAAATGATTATCTTACTATTTGACGGTCCTGAAACTTAAATGAATAATCGTATCTCATAAAATTTTGAATGATCTGTCGAATGGTGTAATCTATTTTACTGTAGGTACCACCGGTTTTGAGATACGAACGTTTTAAACTTTGCGATGCTTTTTTCTCACTGACCTCAAGCACCAGGATGTTTTTTAATATTTTTTCGTATTCAGCGTGGTCGAAACTATAAACCATCAAGTTTTTATATTGTTTGGTGCAATGTAAGCTGACTAGTACGTTTATTGGACTATATGCCGAATACGATTGAATTCTTTCACGCAGTGTAAGACTTCTTTGCACAAATTCAAATGAGAAATAGTAGGGGAACTTTCTTTGACGCAAGTCGGAGCTCTTTTCTGCAGGAAACTGCGGTTTTAATTTACCTAGAGCGTTTTACTCGCCTGCAATGTACACTAGACGGACAGATATTCGCGACCCCTACAACAGAAGGTCCTCATGCTGTAGGGGTCGTGAATATCTGTCTGTCTAGTATACGTACGCAACATTCTGTGTGTATGTGCTCTGAAATGAAGAATAATGTAGTTTTTTATGGCTTGCTCAGTCTGTATTTTCATTGCTGGTTGCAATGATTGTAGAATTGCTTGAATGTATAAAGCTATGTGCTTCTTACTGTAAGTATCAACATGCATCTTTCAATTAAATTTTTATCCAAGAATTTGTGTCGATATACACTTGACTATAAAATATACCACTGCTGAACTTGCGTATGAGTTGGATTCATGATTCATGACACATAGGATGCATAATAGGTGACTAATCTAGTCTTGTCAGGCTACTAGTGCATTTAAGTTCCTGTCTACTTCGTATTCTTGGTGAGTGAAATGAAGGAAATTCATTTTACACCTCATTGCACACTGCCACATAACTTTTGTAGGAAGATATTCATGTAATATTAGATTTAAAACATCTATATACATGTGTACATACTCCAGATTGGGTCAGTACACTATAATATAGAAAAAAATCTATGTTTTTCTCTTCCAAAGTTATGTGGACAGTAGTAGGTAGAATAATAATGACATGTCTTGCTTGTTAAAGAGAAATAAAGATGATGTATTTTAGATAAGTATCAAAGAGATAAGGAAGGCAAGATCTAATTGCTGCCATTGAGTGGTGTCTACTATTTCCAAAACATCGAGGCGTGAAAAAAAGCAGACAATCAATGTTGACTCCCAGATGTCTGTGTGCTTAGGTATACTGCATGCATGGAAGTGGATCGCATGTTTAACAAAAGCAAGTGTACTCGTGGAGCTGTAAATACTTATATTTGCTGTTCCAGAGCACGTATGGTTAGTGTTAGTTAATAAATGCTAAAAATGCTTACATGTTCTATATTTAGATGCATTGCACAATATTCAACTAGCATGTGCAGATGAATAGGGCTGCCGTATTCTGTAATTATTGATTAAACTACTCATGTAGACATCTTGTTAATAATAATGTTTGTTCATATTAATCTCTCTCTCTCTCTCTCTCTCTCTCACACACACATAAATACATATATGTATAGTGCTCTATAGTATAGTAAATGAACAACAAAAAACATAGCACATTATCATTTATCATCCAAATATGGTACATGTTCAAAAAATTGTTTTGAATAACTTTTGAACTGCCATAGGCATACAAAAGTAACATGTTGAAGATTATGATGAACATTGATTATTGCAGAATTCAGATTGATTCTTAATAATATCGAAATTACGTTGTATTTTTAATTTATTACGTATACATGCATACTATCGTTCATTCATAACATTTTTCCTGCAGTATATACTGAATATACTAGTATATATACTAAAGCTGTTAGAAAAGTTAATATCAAATTTTACATTGAATATGTGCTTATTGAAATACAGAATTTTACATTTTTTTCCGATCCTTTAATTATGATGAATTGAAAGTTAGTGTTGGTATAAAAGCTTGCACGTACATTAGCACCCAAAAGTTTCAATATTTTTGAAGAAAGATAAGAGATAAGAAGTCAAACAAATAAGCAGCACACAGCTAACTCAGTACAAAAGATGCCTTTATTTAAAAACAGTTTTTCAAAACTTAATAATACCAATTGCTCTGCTCAGTCGACTGTAACGGACTAGTATTCAAGACTCAGTACACAAATTAAAAAATTTTTAAAACTGTTCATAAAAAATATACCAATATTTTTTAAATGTAATAGAAAACAAAGTTAATGACGGAAATAATAAATTATTTTTATAAAATAGAATGAGTTATACCCTAAGAAAGTAGTTAATTCTAGTCTGAGAGAAAACTAGCACATAAAACGTCCCTTAGGCCAGAGGAATGAGAAAAAACGCTAGCACTATTACCTACAGAATGGGACATAGCTAATTTTATTCGCTTATATGCAAGGATGATGGTGCTAAAATAGGTCAAATTTTGTAGGTGAAAAACAGTGTCAAATTAAGAATAAATTGTAATTTGCCTAAATATATTATAAATACAACAAAAAGAATGTCTTTAACTTGTAGGTATTGGAATTTCAAACAATGCGAGATCAGTTGAATTGAATTTGGTAAATAGCTTATGGGCAGATTAACAAACTAGTGTCAAACATAGCCAAATTTTAAGTTATTTTTAATTTTAATTATATATGTCCGATGTACTTAAAAATTTGTGAAAATATGTCTGATTATGGTTTATATTATGATTTTAAATATACCATTGAATGTCAATAAAATTTTTTTCATGTGCTTACGTAAAATCGTTATTTGTTTGTAAAAAAAGCATTAAATCATCAATTATTTTTTATAAGTCTGAATCGAATAAAATGATCGATTAGGGGCTCATTTTTTTTGGAGACCTATATTTTACAATGATACTATAGGCGTAATATTGTTTCATTTCAAGACCGCAAAGTTGACAGAAAAATGTGCTTTTGATTGTGTGCTCCTGACGTTATGATTTATGAGTTGAGTATTGAAGATGAAAAAGATGAAAAATAATGTGAAAAAAGTTTTCATTGAATAACATCAACTTTCTCGTTTTATATCTGGTTAAATACATTCTTATCACACTGCGCCGAAAGTAGGAACTTTCGTCTCGCTACGAAAATCCCTTCTCTCGGCGCAGGATTGATGAAAAACAGAATACGCACCACTTTCAGAAGTTAAGAAATGCATTAGATTTCACGTTAACCACGTTAACCACGTGAAATCTAAGACATTCTTAACCTCGCTCACTAGGTGCGTAATATACTATTAATGATATATTTTGGACCATAATGGATATATTCCCACAAATTTTCAAGTACTTAGGACTTTTATTATGTTATTTGAAAACAAATTGGAATTCGGTAACTTTTGACAGTAATATGTTAATCTGTCCATAAATTATTTGCGAAATTGAATTTGACTGTTTTCGAATTGTTCGAAATTCTAATACCAACAAGTGAAAGAAAGTCTAATTGTTATTTTAATAATACATTTTCGGCAAATCAGAATAAAATCGATTTATTCCGATTTTTGCATAATATATCTTTAATTTGTCATTGTTACTTCCGAAATTGGATCTATTTCAGCACAATATTTCTTGGGTACAAACGAACAAAATGTGCCATGTCCTATCCTGTGCGTAATCAAGCGACAATATAGTTCTTTTTCATCTAATTCTTCTGTTTTAGCTCTAATGGCGTACAAAAGCGCCTATTTGCCACATATCTACCAGTATGTTAGTGGCTTTCTGCTCATAAACTTTCTACTCATCCTTGAGTGTGGTTTTTTTTGATTTCCTGGAATTTTTTGTTTGTTTTGTTTTATCCAAAAATAATTGTCAGTTGGTATCGCTGCTGCAAGTATATGTGCGAGCACCGTCATGTATTTGCATAACTGTAAAAACTGTATGCAAATACAAGTAGAGTACAACGACTTGATTAATACTTTCCGGAATATTTCGAATTATTTCAGGGTTACCTATATTTTGCAAGGTACAATTTGAAAGTTGATATTTTTTTTTTATAAAACAGTTACCATCCTGATATGTAACTCCTACATTATGGTTAGAAAATTAAGATATATTTATGTTGTTCCATAAGAGGATGTGTATAGTGTGCGAACTTTGCGAGCAAATATTTCGAAATTTTCCAAGGTTAGAGACATAAATAAAAACACCTGGATTCAGCGAGTTCTTATCTATCAATTAAACTACCTACGACCTCTTAAGGGTACGATTATATGGAGGCGGATGGACGTCCCGCAAGTTCGGGAAAACGATGCGCGGTCGTTTTGATTTAAAATATGAAAAGCCCACCTTGCATGTTGGTAATAATATTTTTTTTTAATTATTTGAAATAGCTGAACGTAATTTTTTTCAGCTCTACAACCTTTTTAATTTTTTCCTTCCAGACTTCAAAATTTTTTTCATGGTATTTGAAATAATTAAAAAAAAATTAATACCAACATGCAAGGCGGGAGAGCTCTCAGTGGCTTAGTTGTAGAGCGCTTGCTTTCCGCCTGGAGGGCTCGGGTTCGAGACCCCGCTCCGCCACTTCGTGGCATGTACCTCTGTGATTTTTTCCACATGTCCTAATCACTGTGATAGCTCCTAGACAGCTGGTGTAATGCTTACCATGCCATGCTGATATTAAAGAACAACGGTGCCTGGGTCCGATGTGTAATGCACACCGTGCCGTCGGAACAGTAATAATCAACGGTGTCTCGAGGGGGGAAGGTGGGCGACCCTCTCGTAATAAAATCGCTTCGTAAATTGTCATTTAAAAAGCATGAATTGTGGCGTTTCGGAGTCTAATGTATATCCATAGCCATTAAATAACAACAACATGCAAGGCGGGCTTTTCGTATTTCAAATCAAAACGACCGCCCCTCGTTTTCCCGACCTTGTGGGACGTCCATCCGCCTCCATGTAATCGTACCCTAAGGGAGTTGGGTCGCTCCTGCAGGGAGTTGAAGGGGAACACGTGTATGTGCATAAAGCGCTGTGATAAAGTCTGCTGTACTAACCTAGCCTAAAAATATCCGCCCTTTCGATTGCGGAAAATGCATTTGTGTTAAACCCGCCAGTACTCGTTAATGTTTAAATAATATACTTAGAAAAAATTACAGAATATTCTTCGAGGTATCTAGTGTCTTATGGTATCCGCTTTGAGGGCAATTCCGAAATCGCGCCCCCACTGGACACTTTGAGAACGATTGGTTGTGATTAGAAAAGGTAATTATTACGAAATCAAGCTTCCGGCTCTATTCACCAGATGGCCAACCTTTAAATGTCGCTTCTCTACAAGCATGTGGAAATCAATTTATAGTACTGTCCTTTTCTAATCACGACCAACTGTTCTCAAAGTGCTCAGTGGGGACGCGATTCCGGAATTGCGCTCAAAGTGAATCAATCATATAGCCTAAATACTTTCTCTATGGGATATAAAAAATAAGGAGTGACCCGATTGTGTTCAAATTTAGTGACAACATCCATGCAATGTTTCTTTACAACATATAATTTTTTTGAAACATTTTCATCGTTAAGTAAATTGCGACCCAACTCCCTTAACTCCCTCTGCTGGAACCCCTTGGGCAATGGTTCAAAACAGAAAGGGCTATATATAGGTGAATAAAAGAGAGACATTATCCTTTAAGCGATGTATGTATATATTCGAGAAGGTGTACGGCTGATGTAATTACTGTAGGACAAGACACCAAGCAGCTAGTCGTGTATATTATAGAATAGTCGTTTACAGACTGATTAAAGTTAAACAGACATACATGTGACAAGATACTGAACTCATGGACTATGTACCATACGTACCAACGTATGAGTTAGTGATAATTCACTGTATAAATACATATACGAGTCATTTCACAAAAACTGCGATATTTTTACGTCCTAATTGCGATTTTTGAAATTAAATATTTAGAGTTTTTTAATTATTTTTTCCAGTTATATAAGGTCCAAACTAGTTGGAAACTGTTGGACCTGACTCTACGATCATTTAGTAAAGCCTATGTTAATTTACATTCATTTTTTAAATAATTTAAAACGAGCGTTACGGCAATGACAAGTATGTCATTATCGTAACGGTACTTTTTTGCGATTGTGAAGCCTCAAGATAAAATTTTTCAACGAAACCTTGTTTGTCACATCTGCACCCTATTCGCTCCGAGAATATATTTGGAGGGGCTAAAACGATATGCACCAACGCCCATGGTGTCGATTGAGTGAAACACAGGGGGCTACCAGGGCATCAAATGCACGTTGTTTGTAGATATCTTTAAATATCTAAAAAAGTAAGCATTTACTCGTGATACATGAAGCGTAA